GAACTCAGAATTAAATCCCATTAATACCCAAGAGAGTCAGTATTTGAATTTTGTTCAAATCTGACTTGATGAAAATACGCCATAGGATGAATGTGAGCAGAAAGTGGGCAGCTTACCAACAGCAATGAGTTTTTTTTAGAAAATAATTAAATTCTTGACCTTTCATCACCTCTTAACAAATTTTGGACCAAAAATACAGGATAAGAGCAAAATGGGTACAAAAGACACAATAAAATAGGGGTATTGAACAACAAATAACTCTCACAAATTGAGAGTTATCACCTATCTAAACAATCTAAACTAATTCTTAGGAAAGAGAAATTATTTGTTGTTTAAGACTTAGAAGAAAGTAAGTTCTTTCTGGGTAAGAACTATTTAGAATACTTAAAATGGATTCTAACTTGCTTTTAAAGATAAGTGTATTGTGTTCTTTAGATGTGTGTTCGTTCACGTATAAACGTAAGAGTTAGGGTTCTAGAGTATCTCTGCATGGGGATAGAACAAATCTATTTATACCCATTGCATTAAATGCACATTTAATGCAATGCAGTAGGGTTTGAACACGCGTCAAGCCTTTAGAGAAAGACTTGTCCTTTGCTACAGTGAATAGTACAAAAGCCTATTCATGAGCAGAAATCCTTTCATGGAGTTGGTGGGTAGTAGAGTCAACTAATCGGCTACGTACCGTACTATGCTCTAGAAAGGGTATGGGTTTGTCCTTTGTGTGTGTAAGGACAAGACAAAAATAATCGTGCTCAACAAGCTTCTTTTGATCGCTGAATGTTGGAATAACTTGAAGGTCTCTTCAGCATTCACTGAGGCTTGGGCAGTCTTTACACATGTGTAGACTAGGTTGTAATCACTAAATGCCGCTTCAGATCACGAACTCGTCAGTCTCTATTCTTCAATTTCAGTATTCGACTTTCGCTGAAGGTTCTTTGGTGTGAGTTTTGTCTTCTTGAAATATCACTGTCGCTGATGGATTTACATTATATGTTCTCAGCGATCACTAAACAAACTCAGTGATGATGGCTGGAACTGAAAGACAGAAACATAAATATTTCGTACAAGGTAAAAGGGATTATCATCAAATCACTGAGAGAGAGGATCAACAGAATCCCATAGGGGGGGTAAATCTAAACCAAAATCGTGTTAAATCTCATAGTTCTGCTTCTTGAGTAAAAGTTTTGATAACAAAAGAAACCCCGGAAGAAACCCCACTACTCTTGTTTGCAAACACTATGGCACCACAGGACACACTATTGAGCGTTTCTAATAGGGTTTCCCAAAGATTTCCAAAACCGGTCCAAACCTCCAAATCAAAGTCAAAATTTTAAACCTCAAAATCCTAATTTCAGACCCGCTGCTGGAAATATTTCTGCTTCTAAATTTGTTTCTCCTAAACCTTCTTTTACCTTTTCAGAAGAACAGGTTGTAAAAATCTTGAGTCTAATGATCAAAAACCTACCTCTAATGGAGCTACTGCCAACATGGCAGGTATGTTTCAAAATTACCAATCAGGATGGATAATTGACTCTGAAGCTAACCAACATATGACTTCAAACTGTTTGAATTTAGAAAACATTGTTGATGTCATTGATTTAGATCTTAGGGTTAGTCATCCAAATAGGACTAAGGCTAAAATCAATAAAATTGGGAATCTGAAATTATCTAATAATGTTACTCTCTTTGATGTTCTAGTTGTTCCTGACTTTAATGTAAATCTTTTGTCTCTCTATAAACTGGCTAGAGATAATAAGGTTTTCATAAGATTTGATGAATCTAAGTGTTACGTTCAGGACTGTCATAAAAAGAGTGTTGTTGGGACCGGTAGTTAGGATGGCGGGCTCTATTTCTTTGATCAGAACCCTAGCAGTAATTTTTCTATCCCTTCTAATAATAGTGGTATGGGGTGTTTTGTCTCCTCTCAATTGTGGCATAATCGCCTCGTCACCCAGCTGACCAAGTGCTTCAAGTTTTGAAAGAAAGGCTTAATATTAGTAGAGAAAGCTGTGGCCCATGTGAAGTTTGCCACACGGCAAAACAGACACTGGAAAATTTTGGTTCTAAAACCCCCAGATCCATATGTCTTGGCGAACTTGTTCACCTAGACATATGGGGTCCATACCATGTTCAAAGTAAGGAAGGTTACAAATTTTTTCTAACGGTTGTTGATGATTTTATTCGAGCCGTTTGGGTCTATCTTTTAAAGGAAAGCATGAGGTCGGTAAGTACATTGAAAGTTTTTGTAATCTTCTTTATACTCAATTTGGGAAGTCTGTTAAAACTTTTAGAAGTGATAATGGGACTGAGTTTACCGATCACAAGTTAATTGAGTTCTTTGAGTCAAAAGAAATCGTTCATCAAACTTCGTGTGTTTATACACCCCAGCAAAATGGGGTAGTGGAACGTAAACATCAACATTTACTTAACATTGCTAGGGCTCTTATGTTTTAAGGTGGAGTCCCGCTCAATATGTGGAGTGAATGTATTTTAACTGCCACATATCTAATGAATAGAACTCTAATTTCTATCTTACATGGTAAGAGTCCCTTTGATCTTGTGTATGGCTTTCAGCCAGTTCTTACTCAACTCAGAAGTTTTGGGTGTCTTTGTTTTGCTCATCTACCCAACATCAAGGACAAGGTTTCTCGTAAATCTGAAAAGTGCATTATGTTGGGTTATGCAAATTCAAAGAAGGTTACAGGCTTTATTGTCTGGATACCAAAAGAATTATTTTTTCTCGAGATGTCAAATTTTATGAAAATGTTTTTCCTTTTAAGATGAGTATGGACAAGACTGATCAAGTTAACTGATGGTCTTAACAGTCTTAATTTCTTTGATATCGTGTCTAGTTCTTCTAATGATTTTGATATTGTGGCACCCAATGATGAGAATAGAGGACTTGTTGTTAATGACAATAATGGTCAGTCTGATCCTAGATACAGTAACCGTTGTAAGCTATGTAGCCCATCTAGAGTTGACAATAGGCAATCGCTAGGCAGCTCTGAGTTCCAAGATGACCAAGGTCTTCCTCAAGTAGGTGACCTTGATAGAGCTACCAGTTGGCAGCCTTTAGGTAGCCCTAGAGTGCTTGCCAGTCTTCCTCATGATGTTGTTTCACAGACTGAAGGTGTTATTAGAGATAATAATGAAATTTCCTTGGGTCATATCTCTGAGGGTATTCAATCCCAAACACAATCTATTAGAAGATCATCTAGACCTATCAATTTCCCTCGTAAATATGATGATTTTATTGTCGAAGGCAAGGTTAAATATGGTATAGAAAGGGTTGTTAATTATTCATGTCTTTCCTCTGAAAATTTGTGTTTTGTTTCAAATTTGAATAAGTCTGTTGAACCCAAGACTTTTAAAGAAGCACGTAGTGATCAAAATTGGGTAAAGGCCATGAATGATGAGATGGAGGCTTTACATAGAAATGGAACTTGGCATATTACTGAGTTACCTAAAAATAGAATAGCAATAGGTTGTAAATGGGTTATAAAATCAAATATAAATCCACTGAAGAGA